GATTTGGAGATCTATTAAGCGATTCTACCTCTAACAGATACGAAAGTTTAATGTAGAGATAAAAAAAAACAGACCGTAACTTCTTCGTGTAACGACTTGAACATAAAAACCCGCCTTCTGGATTCGCCGTTTAGAGAATCACATAATTTCCAGAATCACCAAGGTGGCAAATAGTCGTACTTTGAAGACGAGACCACACGCTGTGAGGCCTTCATAGTTTGTGCCTAATACGGGGTGCCCATTGGCACGATCGGGTCAGGTCCGGTCGGTTTGCTAGCCAGATTGAGGTAGGTGGCCCAGCGGTTATCTTGGCACAAACCGATCGTCTGACTCGTCGCCTCAAAAGCAAACGCGTCTGTTTTCAGGCGACGAGTCGTACGATCGATCCGACTCGACCCGATCCCATCCGCAATGGGCACTCGGTATAACGTTTCACCACAGAACAGATCGCCCGTCGTATAGATAGTCGAGAAGGTCAATGGGTGCCAAATTTAATCTTGTTCTCGGGAAATTATTCAAAATCCCTTTCATGTTGCCCTTTCAGACAAACTGTCGCCACAAAGATGTCAGTCATCTCGTGCTCCCGTTTACTGTTATAGCCACTAAATATAGTTTGAGGCTTCACACTCAATAAAAAGAAGAAAAAAAACCTTCCCCATTTTTGAAATAGGCGCAAATCTTTTTTTCCCGTACAACAGCCCTTCACTTACATTTACTGCTGTTGTGGGAAGTTGGTAGGTGCACTGTTACGTGAGATTTTCTGGCACTTTCAACTTTTTAAATGAAAATTTACTCATATCTTTTGTCTGTTCCTTTTCAATTAATATAGCCTTTATTCCATCTCAACCTCTCTTTAAAGTTTCAGTCTAGGTTGTGACCGTGACCTTTGAGAAACGTGTGCTTAACTGTCCGTTGATGTTTTCTGTTTTTAACGTAAACGATAAAGCTTTGGGAATATTGGACTCACTTTCACATAACCAAGTTGCCATTTGTAAGCTTTTAAGCTCCCTGATTATCACACTTTTTCCTTTTTCCTATTTATTACTGCTGCTTTTGCATACGGCTCAGTTTTACTCTGTACGCTACTATGTGAAACTGTATTGTGTCGGGGTTTGTTTGGGGTTGTTGTTGTTTTTTGTTTTTTGTTTTTGTTTTTTTTTTTTGGGGGGGGGGGGGGGT